AACAGGGGCTTGATCTAGTAAAATATATATGGCTCTTTTCGTCTATGCAGACGGTCAATTTAGCTTAAGTTTGTCTCAAGGTTGTCTTCATGCAGCTTCTTTCATGGCTAATTCTTCCTATGTTTGAAGCGCAGATTCTGTCGCAGTGCTTGCATGTCAGTGTCGTAGATCGAAGCTCTGTATTTCCGCTCTTTTCCTTTCATCGTTGGCGCTTCTCAGCCTTGTTGTTTCTAAAGCTGCTCTCTAGCATTATACATGTAGTTCTTTCCCTTATCATTTTCCTCCATGTTTTCCTGTCTTCAGCTATTTCTTCCCAGATGCTAACATCTACTCCAAGCTTAGATAAGCTGTTTTTTACAGGTGTCTTTGTACCTCAATTTTGGTCTTTCTCTTGGTCTCTTTCCCTGGGCAAGTTCTCCATAGAGAAGTACTGAAGTTGCTTCGGAATCCGTTTGTCGTCCATTCTTGACATGGCCCAGCCACCGCAATCTTTTTAAACACAGGATAGTTGTCATGCTCTGGGGGTTTGCGCGTGCCAACACTTCAACATTTGTAACCTTGTCACGCCACGAAATGCCTAAGATCTTGCGGCAGCATCTGAGATGGAAAATCTCGAGGCGCTTTTCTTGTCTACTGTACAAGGTCCACGTTTCACATCCAAAAGGAGTGTGCTGAGGACACATGCTTCGTAAATCTTGATTTTTGCTATTGGCAAGTCAATACTGGTATTTGATACAATAGCTTCAATAACTGTGCCATACTCAAGCAAAAAAATGGCTATTGAAGTCTTACCTTGCCATTGTAGAAGGTGTTAGTGATGCAAAATGTTAGTAAAATGTATGGCACACATTTATTTATAGATAATACACGATACACTCGTTTCTCCCACATTTTACATTACTGTGTCAAAAACTATCCGCTCTTATATTCTGCTTTGAGTACTTTGGGGTCAAACTGAGTGTTGTTAGTTCGTCACTGTTGAAGTTGAAAGAAGAGCGCAATAAATGAATGAATATAGGCTATGCCTAGGCTAGCCTAGGCCTAGGCCTAGATTTCAACGAATGAATTAGACTTGGTTGTCTCGTTTGGTTGTGAACAATGCGCTCAAACGTGGCCCTCTGCTTTCTACGTCACGAGTTTCTGTGCTCACTTTGGCCCTATGCATCGCGTAACCATAGTAAACATAGCGACGTGTTATCTTGAGCTTTTGGGGGTGAGTACTTGGATATTTGTTGATTTCATAACTCGAAATTGGATGGAAATTGTAGAATCTAATTGTTGGTATCGGTGTCATCGTTTAAATTGCCTTTTGTCCCTTTCTCGTCCTCTTTCATTTGTGCGTTTGTCTTTGTCGGTGATTATAAAATTATTTTTTTGAACCCCCCAAAAAACAAAGCCTAATTTCATGGCAAATTCATGGTAATTTCCAAGTGACCTTCGTAACCTTTGTTTGAAAACGCGCATGCGTGAGAAAGAAGGGGGTGTGTTGGTTAAATCAAGGAGCGGTTATTAGATAGATCTAGAGATATCTATAGAGGCTAATAATCCATGTCACCGCTCGCATGGTATGCTTTCTTGAAGCTGTTTTACGGTGCTTTGGTCGGACAGTGTGGAGTCAATGCTGCGCTGCCTGTTGTTTATAGGTAAATGAAAACTGACCCGGGAACTTTGTTGGCGAGTGCTCTGGTGTGACTTGCTCTTTCTTTCCTAATCGAACATTTATCTAGAATCTAGATCTATAGATTCTAGATCGCTATATCCCCACCTTCTTTCTTTTAGTAGATCTAGATCTACATCTAGATCTAGATCTATAGGTTACTCCCCCAAGTTACAAGTTATACCTTTAATAAGTAACATAATATGACCCATTTGTATTGCAAGTGTAGATCTAGATGTAGATTCTAGTAAAACTCTTACCGTTAGGGTTCCTGCCGGTACGAAAGCTAATACATCATGATCATGAATGTAGGGCCTACAAAACCCTCTCTCTGTTGAGACAGTAATAATGATAGATCTAGAATCTAGATTAGTAGGTTCTAGATCTAAGTTGCAAGTGGTTTGACTGACTCTTCACTATCGTTTTTGAGGCCTTCACCGACGAGATCTAGAATCTAGATCTACCCTTTCCGAGCACTTTACGTTTCCTTTCTTGAATTGGAGGGGTTTGGGGGGGGGGGGGGGGGGTGCGCCCGCGTGGGTGGCTGGCGGGGGCTTTTGCGTAGGTTAGCCTTTGGCTTTTCTCAGCCCTTTCTTTTTTGTTTATATTATATTTAACATCTGGGGAGGACTTCCGTAACGAGCGACCACTATGAGACAGAGCAGAATTGAGGGCTTGGGGTAGGGGTAGGGGTAGGGGTAGGGTTAGGGTTAGGTCTAGGCCTCTTCTTTATTGTGTTTGATGGGGTGGTCGCTCGTTACGGAAGTCCTTCCAAAATCTGTTAGGTCTAGATTTTTCTAGATCTAGATCTAGATCTAGATCTAGATTCTATATAATTTTGTTGCAATTGCTGTAAAACTTAACTTGTATTGAGAGTGAGAGGCCCAGTAGTCTTCATGATTTATAGTCTATATATCTAGATCTAGAGTCTCTAGCTAGATATCAAGATCCAGTGCTGCCCACTAGGCTGCTGTAATTGATCCGTCTGTAGAGACGCTGTGTGGTGAGAGGGCGCTGCTCGTAGGTCCTACTTCTTTTCTTTCCCTCAGTTATTTCTAGATCTAGATCTAGATCTATGGCTGCGGGTGGTTGGAAGGCGCCATTGTTAGGTCCTAGATCTACTCTTTTTCTGTCACTCTGTTGTTACTAGAGGTCTAGATCTAGACTATCTGAGGTGGTTGTTGGAGTGTGCCACTGGTCGCAAATATTCTCTACTAGATCTACCCGAGCTTTTTGCTGATAGGTCCTACTTGTTTTGTGGGTGGTTGGCGGGTGCTCTGGTGTGGTTTGCTACTTCTTTCCTATCAAATACCTATCATCCTTATCTATCCTCCTTCTTTTTTATATTTGTTACTCGCTTGTAACACCTCTAATCTTCTGGCACTCATATGACCTTGTGTAGTTGCGAGCGCCGAAAAACCTCTACTAAAACAAAAACTACTTGTTTTCTGCTCCTCTGTCTGTTCTTTCTCTCTGAGAGTGGTTGCAGTGCGCCACCGGTAGGTCCTAGATCTAGGCTACTTCTTTTCCGTCCTTCTTTCTGTCTCTCTGTATGTCTTGTTTGTTTTTGTTTTTTTCCAACACTTAGACTCTAATGACCGTATACAATGTTAATGTGCTTCTCTTTACTCTTAACATTTTAATCTGTCTACTGCTTCCTTACTCTAAGTGACTGCTCTTACGTTGATGCACTCCCCTTTACTCAAACTCATTGTAACAATTTGTGTGTATACACTTTTGTTGACGTTTGTAGACCCCCCGGGGGCGGTGCCACTGACTGAAGTGTCTTTAGGCCATTCCCAAAGGGGGTACAAGGGGGGGGGGGGCATTTCTCGTTCTTGCACAGTAGTAGAATTGTAAATGGGCTGATTCATCAATGCCTCACTCATAACTGTGCATGATCTCAAACAAGGAACTGCTGCTTTTTCTTTCCAAATCCTTACTATCGTCATTTTCCCTCTACTTCTTTTGTATGTTTATTGTTTGTCACTCTCTTGTGAATTCCTATTTCCGGGGTGCCTTGATAGTCGAAGCAGACCTTGTGCTGTTGAAGCTAGAGAGGTGAGCAGAGTAAGTCTGATTCCCTGTAAAGACTTCTCTGTTGACACCCACCCCTTGGCGCTCATATTATTATGACCTTATGCAGTTGCGAGTACTGTAAAACCTCTACTAGATCTATATCTAGATCTAGGTCTAAATAAAATATTAAAATATACACTTTTGTAGTTGGTGGTTCACGGGTGCTCTGGTACGTGTTGTTTGCTCCTTTTCTATCGTATTCAAACTTCCGTTGTGGGTGGTTGGCGGGTGCTCTGGTGTGGTTTGCTTCTTCTTTCCTATCAAACGTCTATCGTCCTGATCTCTCCTCCTTCTATTTTGTGTTTGTTCCTCTCTTGTAACACCTCTAATCTTCGGCACTTATATGACCTTATTGTGTTGCAAGTGCCGTAAATCTCTTACTAAAACTAAAACTAAAAAACTTCCGTTGTCCTTATCTCTCCTTTTTGTTTTCTTTGTGTGTTGCTCTGTAGTAACACCTTTAATGTCCAGCACTGAAAGACTTCGTCGTAACCAGCGACCACCCCAACCTACGCAATAAAGAAGGGACTTTTGAGAGGGCTATGTAAAAGATAGGGTTTATTTATTTTATTATTGGGTTTGGCAGTAAAGAAAGGAAACTGATTTTGTGTTACTTTGTGTTCTCTTCCGCCTTCCTTTGTCTCTTCACCTGTTTGTGTTACAAGTGCCATTAAACTCTATTATTAGCGCCTAGAGATGTGTTCACGCGGGAGTGGGCGCTGTAGAATAAATGATCTACATTATTATTATTATTAAAACTAAATTTGTTCTGTTTATCCTCAATTGAGGTGGGTTTTTGTTTCATGCACTAAAATCCAATTATTAAATTTTTCTTGCATTTGTTCAAGTCATAAGATTGACTTGGATATAAGCACTGTTTGTATAAGTTTTCTCAAAACACCAAAAAAGAAAATGACTTACGCAGTTGTATTATGACTTTGACGATATTTCGCAAGATGGTGGCTGTAGCTCTCTGAAAGTTGGTGGTTGGCGGGTGCTCTGGTGTGGTTTGCTCCTTCTTTCCAATCAAACATCTATTGTCCTGATCTCTCTTCCTTCTTTTTTGTGTTTGTTACTCTCTTGTAACACCTTTAATCTTCGGCACTCATATGACCTTATTGTGTTGCAAGTGCTGTAAAACTCTTACTAGATCTAGATCTAAAACTAAAGCTCTCTGAAAATTCTCGTCGCATACTTTGTTCTTGTCACAGTACTGTAGGACTTGAATATTTCATTTTCATTTTTATTTCTTTGTTCTTTTCAGAAATGGGCAAGTGACTGACTACAACAGCGGAAGATCACAAGAACTGCTGGTGAAGTTTATGCGAAGGTAAGTCTCAACACTGACCACATAGCAATACATGCATGTTCGTATTGACTGCTCAGTGTAAGACTCCCATTATACGTCACTTTTCAAACTGGCATATGGTGGAGTTTCACTTGTACAGTCGTAGAATCAAATCAATAGATAATGCTTTTGTCTGCTCGTCATTTTCACTTCTGTGTTGGATTAAATACTGATTTATTATTTTGTATCAAAGTCTGAATGAAAGTTTAAATACTGGTGTCTATAGTGTAGTGCTTTGCTGTTGCGTGCAGAGGACCCAAATTGCTTTCTTGTTCATAGAGTATCTCAGTCTTTCTGTTGCGATGTTGTATTCCTCTCAGTCTGGGTTGGACCTGACAGGTAGGGTCAAAGCCCACCTCCTAAATGATGTAGTCTGTCAGCTGGGGAAGAAAAAACACCTGCATAAGAAATAAGAAAATGTCCCCTGCAATAAGCTAGATAACTTTGCATGTTTTCCCAGTCTGCAGGTTGTTTGGGAGTTTCTAGTAGATCGGTCACAGTATTTGGTGCTCTTGCTGTATTTGATATTCCCATTCAAACAAATCTGACGTAGAGAAAAGTACACTTTGTTGGGGGGGGATGACCATGATTTTTAAGGGGATTATTTTGGTGCTAGATTTTGAACACTTTGCAAGCCTGTAAACTAAATGTGAAACAAACTTTTAGTTTACAGAATGTATTCTTATTGTCAAGGGGTTATGTTTATGAAATGTGAGACAGCGTGGTGAAATCAGGTGCTTGTCAAAATCATGAAAATGAAGAAACTGGCATTTTTCCGCAGGTTTGGGAATTTTTATATAATTGGGTTTTTTTTTGGCTCAATACCTTCTATGTCCACTAGAGAACACATTTCTGCATGGATATTATTGAAACACATTGATTAAAGGCACAAAAGAATGTACATTTTCTGTTTCCACGGACTCTCAAGCTACAATGTAATGAAATAACTAAGCTTTGGCGGCCATTTCCTTCCAAATTATACTTCTGAAACCAGGTGATTCCCACCTCCTTCAATTGCCAATATCTCGACTTGTATCCGAGGAAAAATGGATTTTAAAAAAAGTGAATGCAAGACCAATGAGCAAGCTCTAAGATGATACCTATAACTCCACATGCCCAAAAATTGATGAGCTGCCTCACAAATGCACTTAAGTTGTGCTTTGAAAGTTTTAAAAGATTTACCTGTACTTTAATCGTTATTCAAAAGTTTTTCTTTTAAAAGAGTTCCTCCCTTGTTTCAGTCAAGCAAGTGTTGCGTCAGAAAAAGTTGAAGACGAGGAGGACGCTGCCGAGGCCTTAGACATGGCGCCCAAACAACGAGGAATAGAGGAGCCCCGCCCCTCCGCCTTTGTCCCCTCCCGCTCTGTCCAGGGCCTGGTGCAGGCTAACTTCTCGCAGTACCTCAGTGAGTGCACTCCCCTTTTTTCTCCTTTTTCTTTTTGGATGTACTCCGCAGGGATACCGCTGTGCCAACAAAATGCAAAGTGTGATGATTATTCAAATAGATTGTATTGATCTGTGTTGGCCCTGACAGGCACGGCTGTTGCTCAGGATTTAAACAATCTCATCAGTTGTGTTGGTACTAGGCTACCCCAGAATGACAAAGTTCTATCCTACATTTTTAGCCATTTGACTTATTATTACAACCATGTTCTATCTGCTCTATCAATATTGTCCGTTGATTCGGAGTCATCATCAAGATATTCAAAGAATTGCACTGTGTGCTTCCCGGGAAGCTGAGACTATTTCTCATTGTTCTAGGGTCTGCTTTGGTAATTAATAATAGTTGTACAGCGCATAGAGCATGCTGTAGAGTGTGGATATGCACTTTATAAATGCAATTATTATTGTTATTTGGCAAATGGGATTGTTAAAGCATAATCTCTTACACTGCAACAGAAGTAGTCCCACTTGAAGTAATTTAGTTTGTTATGCAATCTGATATTGTAATATCTTGGGTGTCCCTGACTGGGTTTTTAAAAAGTTGGTGAGCTTGCGATACGGAGTGTGTAATTGGCTGGTGCTCTGATGTGGTTTGCTCCTTCTTTTTTGTCAAACATCTATCGTCTGTATGTCTCGTCCTTTTCTTTGCATGTTACTCTCTAGTTGCACCTCTGATCTTTGACACTTTTATGACCTATTTGTGTTGCAAGTGCTGTAAAACTCTTACTATGGGAAGTTTGCATTTACTCTCTGGTGCGGTTTGCTCTTTCTTTCCGATCTAATATCTGTTGTCCTTATCTCTCCTGCTTTTTTGTGTTTATTATTCTCTATTATAACACCTGTAATCTTCGGCACTTGTCTGGCCTAATTGTGTTGCAATTGCTATAAAACTCTTACTAAAACATGATACAAGCAATAGGAATGTAAAGCTTTGACAAAAACAGGTGGTTAGTGGGTGCCCTGGTGTGGCTTGCTCCTTCTTTCCTAAACATCTATTGTCCTTATCTCTCCCTCTTTTTTGTGTTTGTCACTCTCTTGTAATACCTCAAATCTTTGGCACTTATATAAATGTTATGACCTAATTGTGTTGCAAGTGCTGTAAAATGCTCACTAAAAGAAACACAATTTTTTTTGCAATCGATGAGGTTGTCATTTGTGTGGGTTGTGTCTTGTGTCGGCAGATGACAAGCAGGCTGCCCTGGTGATGTTCTATGACCCAGACTGCCAGTATTGTAACCAGGCCAAGCCACATTTTATGAAGGTAGCCAAAACTCTACAGAACAAGCAGAGAGGCTTTGGTTCCGTCGACTGCACACAGGAAAAGGGTGAATAAAGGATACTTTAATAGCAACACACTTTTTTTAATTTGGGGAGGATTTTGTTTTTCCTTGAGTTTTTGTTTCTTATTTCATGATTGATTTTCCCTTTCTTAAGGCCTTTAGACCGTATTGTTTTTTTTCTTGACTGGATGCAAGATTCTTGACAAACACCCAACTCCAAAATTGTGTAAGTTGGAGTCTGGCGTCCTATCTTCGTTTTCTGTCATGTCTTTTTTGTAGTGAAGGTGACCTTGTCTGGGAAATATGGTACAGAAAAATAAAACAGATTGTAAAGCATTATAGAGGTGTGCACTATACAGATGCTATATATATGAATATTATTGTTATTATCTTATACAATTTTTTAACTTACCCAAACTAACCTCCGTTTTTTTTTTTTGCTCAGGCCTGTGTGAGTTGGAGAAAGTAACTGGCTACCCGACGTTCAAGCTGTACGTTGGAGGCAAGTTCCTGAGCCGATTTGCGGAGACTCCCAACGCCCAGACCATGATCCGCTTTGTGGAGAATGCCCCAGTGGCCGTTGAGCCGACGCCGGACGAGAAGCCGAGTGGCAGCCGTCGCAGCAAGGAGGACTTGTAGGCTGGGAAGGATGATCATCTGTTGCCCGCACCGACCCCCCCCCCTCCCTCCTGGATTTTTAAGCAAAACCGCCGCCTCCACCCCAACCAACCTTGACGTTATATTGCCCCTCTCTGTCTTCTTATCCTCAGTCGACTAAAGTTTACTTTATTTTTCTATAACAAGGAGAATCATATATACACACTTGTTTCAAATACTAGCATCAAAAGACCCTTGCTTGCTCTTTAGCCAAATTCTTACATTTTTCTATATATATATATAACCATCTAGTGCACACTGAATATAAGTGATATTACTGATAGAGTCGTCTTCAACATTCCCTTATGACGATAGCACATTATTTCTCTGCGTCTCTGTAACAATTAGTATTAATATCACAGTTTATTGAGTATTTTCTTCTAACGTCCTGATATTTTTGGATATTTTTTTTTGTCTTCAACTCGGTACTTCACAAATCGTCTCTGTGAAAGATCTAGTACAGTATTATGTTGTGCAGTGTATCTGTCACATCAGCGTATGGGTACACGCCACATGCCCCCGCTAGGTTTCACGCAGATAGCAAATTCAAACGCTCCCGACCAGACAGGCGCAGATGTTCCTTACCCTGCACCTCTTCCCTGTTGGTAGATGTTTTCACAAAGCAGATTAACGGAGAGAAAGCTTGTGCTTGGATGTCTGAAGTGTTGCTCTTAACCCCTCCGTGACGCTGGGTCAGTTTGTGCTTCACCGAGCAGTTTTGGATCCTCAGGGATGAAGTGTAGCGCTCGGTATAGCAGCTGACTGCCTGTAATTAAATCCAGTTTGTGAATACGACAGACTGCCTGTAAAAGCAAAAGGTTCTTTTGTACGGAACAGGTATTGCTGAATCCGAATCTGCAATTAGTTTTACCCAAGAGCGTCATTGTTGTCTTCACGCTTCACAAGGCAAAATGAGTGCTGTTCATCATCACAGCAGCATTTTATCTCCTTCGCCACATGAGAAAACAAAGACGAACGGTGCTCATCATGTAGATCACGAAGGGGTGAAACAGTTTGTGTTATGTTCTGCTTATCCTGTGTATAGATCTGCCTTTTGTTATGGCTGCTTGTCCAAGCTCGGGAGAAAGTTGACGTATGAGAAGAAATAAAGATTATATTCCAACAGAATGATATTTGCAGTAGCATCTTTTATTTTTATCCCCCCCCCCCCCCTTGCATAATTTCATTTCCTGTATTATCCACTCTTTGGTGTTGGTCTTTATTCATTTTTATTTTAATACTAGTTTGTGGATGCATTAAATCTTATTTTTATTGATTTTAACTGATATATTGAGTTTTGTTTTGTACTTTGATTTTATAACACAAGTTTAATGTCTGACTAGTAATGGTTTGTTTATTGATAATCAGCGTTTTCACTTTGTTTATGCTTTTACTGTTTTAGTTGAGAAAATTTGTGTCTTTAACAGTTTTGTGCTTATTTTCTGCAAATTTCAGACCCCCTATTTAGTTTTAATTTTATAGTTCGTTTTGAATTGTGATCCGGAGTACATGCTGATGACGCATGATTTTTAGAATGTTGTATGATATGACAGAAATGGTGTCTGTCAGTGAGATTTGGCCATTTCAAAATATTTGGTAAAAAATGAGCAAGGACGAGCGTGTTTAAGATGTCAGTAGGTCAACATCGCTGGTCCCTGGTACAGATTCTCCAGTGATGATTTTCTGTTGAAGCTGTTCTAGCAGTGAAAAAAGGAAAGAGGGAATGAATACATCACTTCTTAAAAATCATCTTGCAGTCAGTGGAGTTTCATGGATGTTTTTTTCCATGTGTGTACAGTAGGAGAGAGGATCTTTTAGGGTCTTATTGATCAAATATTGGAAAGTACTATAATTTTGATGCGGCTGTATTCAGACCGAAAGGCCCAAACTTGAACCCAGGCTCAAACTCGAACTCAGACGGCAGCTGGATGGGAAAAGTAAAGTAAAAGTATGTGGCTGTATGATGTGGGCTTCTGTTGGTAAGGTATAGACAGTCTGTTGACAAACATTTGTGTTTCTTGATCCTGTCAAATATTTGGTTGCTCATTTTGCTGCAGTGCCTTTTGTATGTGTACTGATACTTAACATTTTTTTAAAAGTTTGCGTAAGAATTTAGAAAAAGGAAGTCTCTCAAGACCAAACCCTATGTTGTTTGTATATCTATGGCTTTGTGTATTATTATATCTCCTGCGAAAAAAATCTGGACTTATTTGTCTCACAGAAACTTGAGTAGCGCTGAAATACTTAATGCTTTTTATCTGTCTTTTTTTTCTTTGAAGTAAGTTTAGTAATAAGGAGATATATTATGGTTTGAAATCTTGTAAACAGTTATTGTTCTCATCATTATAAGGAGTTACAGACTTTTCCCTTACTTGAACCTCTTTTGGCTTTGGTAATGGCTATCTTCTAAATTGAAAGCTCTACTTGTTCTTTTGCATTATTTTTTTATTTGGTCAGATTTCATTCTCAAAATTTTGTTTTCGTGTTCAATTGCCTCCCTGGAAGAGTTAAACTTGAACATTTGCTCCCTCGCCTAGCCTCTGCTGGTTTTCTGTATTTGTAAAAACCAACTTTTTTTTTTTTAAGCTATGTTTGAACCACAGGTACGGTCATGTCTGTGTCTTGCCGCTGGCTTCTACTGTGTTTTCAATCACTTTACCCGCCAAATCCAAAGAACTGTTCTGTTCTTGCAATACCAAAGTTTTATGTTTACAATCATGTAGGCCCTCTCGTAATGACTCTGACCACTGAACCTGGAAGATGTGAACTTAGGTTCCATTTTGCACTTTTATTCTTTAAGGGGATAAATCATGCCCTGACTCAATGACTGTGGCTGCAGTGTACTTTTGACGTTATGTCCACATATATACTAAAACATTTTTTATTTTATTTATCATGATATACATGGCATGGTGATGGTTTTTTAATTATGACATCTGGCCACATCTTTTTTATCTTGTCCTCTTGTGTTTATTGAGACTAAAGCTATGTTTCAGTTTGACAAAGACTTTGGGAAGACGTTGAATGTAACTCGGTGTTCTGTTATTTTTTTAATTTACAAGTTCATTTTGCAGCTTCTTTGTCCGGTTGTCTGTTAAATTATTAAACTTTTGAATTTTCATCAGTCACTCCAACTATGTCCTGTATCTTTCTTTACACCTTTTCTTTTACCCCCCCCCCCCCTTTCATCTTTTACTTTCCTCCCATTCACTATCTGTCTTTTGTGTTTTTTTCTCCTCAGCTCAAACTTGGAGTGAGTTAAGAATATATGGGTCAAAACATGTCTCACGATCCTCTAAGTCCCTGTGTTCCGCCCTCTCAAAGTCCAAACATTTTGTTCACGACTTTTTGTCAGTCGTGTTGCTGCCTGTCTTCTCTTCTCGCCACCCTCTCCTTACCGGGCAAACAATGACCATTGTTGTTGAGTTGTTGCAATATGCTTCTCTTAAATAAATAAATTTGAACCCTGCTGAACTTACTTACACCAATACTGTTCATGTTTTTTGTTTGAGTTTGTCAAGCATATTGGCTCTGTGAGTGGCTGCTTGAAAGTGAAAGTTTTACGCTTTAAATTTGATGCATGGGAAAGATTTTGGAAAGGCCACATGGGAAAGACATTACAAAGATTAGTAACTAGTTGAGCTAAGACCTCACAGATATCTTTCTGAATTTCTGCTGTTGGATTTTTATTTTAATAAATAAATGGGATGGACCTAGCTCTCTGCCTCATCTTATCAAGTTGTGGGCTTGTCAAGGGAAGTGTCGCATATGGGTGGTTGGCTGGTGCTCTGGTGTGGTAGTGGTATGCTCGTTTTTTGTCAAATATCTTTTGTCTTTATCTATCTCTCATCAATCTTTTCTCTGTATGTTACTCTTTAGTAGTAACACTTCTAATCTTTAATACTTATAGAACCTTTTTGAGTTTCAAGTGCTATGAAATTCTAATTAAAACTAAAAGTGCAGCATGTTATAAGAATAAGATCACTGAGTGAAAGGATTCCTGTATAGGGCTTATCTCTGCATATATTTGTGAAAGGATTCCTAAATAGGGCTTATCTCTGCATATATTTGTAAGAGTTCCTGCGCACAACTCCTTGTTTTCTGTGTACTTGTCCACCAAGCACAATGTTACTGTTTTTTTTGTCATGTTTGCTCTGTGTCCTATCTGTTGATTTGCCTTTCTCTCCTCAGCAATGTTTTTATCTTAATTTTGTCAAGATATCTGCTTCTCTTTTACCTTTTCTCACAGCGATATATGTTTTAATCATTTTGCCTATATCTGCTTCTCTTTTACCTCCTCACCCTGCGGTACATTTTAATCATTTTGTCTAAATAAATGCTTCCCCTACAGTGGTGCCAGTACATTTTTACCATTTTGTCTGTACTAAATGTGCTTCTTATTTACTTGAATAGTCCACCATGTCCCTGTGATTCAGTTAATTTTTCAAGCTAGCACAAAATATTTCACATAAAGATGATCTGTAGTGCAATGCCCTTCTGCTAATGAGCACACTAGCTCAGTTGGTGTCTTGCCTTTTTATGGTGTGGATCACCCTGGATCGAATCCCCACCAAGGTGTTCTTGAACTTGTGAAGCTTTTTTTTATATTAGTAAGTTTTTGAGGCTTGGCACCTACTTAGCTGAACGAGATGGAGGTTAGATTTGGAGGTCCCATCTGTTGAATAAGCTCTCAAAATTGAAAGATACGAAAAAAGCTACACTGTAGCATACCACACCTTACCTTTCTGCAAGCCCACCGTCTATGTTGTCAGTATCTTCATGGTGGCGCTATGCCTTGTTTTACTAGGAACCGTGCGGTGTCTGATTTGTTAACTCTGAAGAACTATTGTATACGTGCCAATTGATGTGACTGAAGTATGGGATAGATTGTCGTTTTCTTGTTATTTTTATCTATGACAGGTGCCACATGTAGCTGTCTTTGTTACTGTTACTGTTATTATCATTATTATCATTGTTGTTTTTCTTCTTTTTTTTTTTTTTTTTTTTGTGGCGGTGCTAGCTTGTTACACGACTCTCAGAGCAGAGAAATAAAATAAACCTGACTTTAATTGCGTTATCTGTGTTTTGTTCAATTGGTTGTTATGCTGTTGGGAATTTTGCTGATCTCTTCAAGTTGTATTTTTTACCCATAGGGCCTATTGAGCTATTGCCTGAAAAGTGTGAAGGTGCCTCATCTGCCTGTAGTAGATAGCACAAACTTACACCAAGGAACCGACGAGATCTGTCACTGTCTTTTCGATGAATCCAGTCCCATCTTGGTGAAGTGAGAAAACTGAAAAATTAAGAAAAGTGTCTCTGAAGTCTTTGCCAAGGACAGGACAACAATATGTATAATATTTAGGCCTGAATCAGGATTCGAACCAACATCCTTTGTCCGGGAGCCTATTCCATAGACTTTTGACGTCATATGTACTCAACCTTTTAGTTATGAAATTTTGGTTCAGTGAAGAAGACGCATTTGTAGACCCTAGCTCCTGTTGGGTTGTTGACAGGTGCTCTGGTGTGGGTGTTGCACTATGTTACGGATTCTGGGGTTCACGCCTCTGCTCGGTCCGACGTTGTGTCCTTGAAAAAGGCACTTATTTACACGAAATTCCCAATTTGGCTCAGTCCTTTCGGATAAGGACGTTAAACTCGGAGGTCCCGCCTCTTAAATAAGCTAAGTGTTGATAGAGACGTTAAACCCTTTGCATTTCACCATTTTTTGAGGGGTGTTACAATTAACCGCTACCAAAACATCTAATCTCCGTCACTTATATAATAATGGGGCCCATTTGTGTTGCTAAACCCGTTAAACTCTTACGAAACGAAAACGAACACAAATATAAACTTAGTGAAGGAGATGCCTCTGTATCCTTTGACTGGAGCTCCTACGACACGCGATGGTGGGTGTAGTAACTTGTTTTGGTAAGTGTTTTTCGGCGCTCACCATTGCATAAGATCAAAAGAGTGCGCAGGACACATTTAACATTTTCATTCTGTTTGGTAGCAATTAATTTTGAAGTTTCCTCGGGTGGCGACCGAAGCCTAGATCTACTCTTTTCGATTTTACACCTCCAAGGGATTGCAACCTGCACAAACGACCTCAGATTTTCCGCCCTTAGAGAAAGCTGTGTTTGACTGTACCTACCCTAAGATTGTGAATGAAAGACAGCCAGTGTAAGAGGGAGCCACAGAAAAAGTCGGGAGCCCAGAGGAGGGGGGGGGGGGGGGGCAATTCCCGCCCGTGTCCGGTTTAGAACCTGGGACAATGAGAGGCGAACGGTGTGACCTTTAAACTACATTTTAGAGTCACATGTGGCAGCTATGATAACTTGACAAGCTCACAACAATTTGGAGTTCAAACCCAAAAGTCGTTGTTTTGATTTGTTCTTTGATTCCCTGTTTCTTAGCTGAGTAGGCCTATAAAATATACAAGGTCCTGCTGCAAGCCCAGCCGTCAAACTTGACTGATGAATAAACGTAATATGGGAAGTCTTTCAGCCGATAACTAGATGGTTTTATAATAATATTGTAAAGTGGGCATGCTAATTGCTGCTGAACTTATGTAAGTTCTATGATTTGAATCCGAGATCGATCAACATCGACCTACCAGGGCATAGAAGCTTTGCCCCCCCCCCCCCCCCCAAAAAAAATCACAAAAAATTAATTTAAAAAAAAATCACAAAGTGATCGATAATGCTCTCTTTAATTCAGCGCTTGGCTTCAACCAAATCCGGCTAGGCTTTCTTAGAATAAAATTATATATTGGCTCAACCGGTTCCTCTATCAGTTTCGTTTCTTAATCTTTGGATTGCGTCATGTTCGTCCTTTCATAACGTATTTGAACCGGAGCACCGTGTACTTTAAGAACATTTATTGCAATTATAAACCTTCTGTTATATTTCTAAGAAAACAATCAAATTTTCAGATTTCATAGATTGTTATTTCCGCTGTTACTCGTCCGATTGTAAAAAAAAAAATAAATAAATAAAAAGAAGATAATTAACGTGAGCTGTGTTTGTACCAAATAGCTCGTCGTTACTCTTAGTTTTGATAGAATTCATTTAAGATAGATAGCCTACATGTATACATCTAAATGTTCCATGAAACACCCTATTGTGATGTACAGGGAAATTCAAATATGATGCATGGCAATATGTTGTTAGCCTGCAGTAGGCCTATGTTTTATTATAAATTATTATAATTATTAATCTTTTATACATGGAATGGAAGTCTTGTTGATGAGTTCTTACCCCCCCCCCCCCCCTCCCTCATCCGGACAAAAACCTCAGCAAAACCACCCACGCAAACACACACACACACTCTCTCTCTCTCTCTCTCACACACACACTCTCTCTTTCTCTCTCTCTCTCTCTCTCTCACACACACACACACACACACACACACACACACACACACACACACACACACACACACAATACATGCACTCTCATGCACACATACACTACACCACACACACACACACACACACACAGACACACACACAAATACCAACACACACATTTAAAAGAAAGGAGATAGGATAGGCCTAGGTCTCGTGTCTCGTGTTCAAAAGGCTGACATTAGGCTTTTATAGTATTCGATACTTGATGAAAAGTATTCGACGGCTGCCATGAAGAAACCACGCAGTTTTTGTCCAGGTCCCGGATACAAGTACAAGAGAGAGTCCAGAGTGAATACCAGGGCCCACATCCCGGTTCCCGCCCCGAACGTAGGCATACGTCGTCTGCTGAAGTCACGAAATCGCTCGTCATTGTAGATCGTAGTTACCCTTGGACTTGGGCCTGTTTCACAATCTCCCTCAGCTGTAGAAGGTTGCTCGAAAGCTCGTTGAGTCTCTCAAATCGTGTTGGTAAGCAATTTTTGGGAATTTATCTTTATCATTTTGTGTTCTTATTGTGTGGATTTATAATCTTTTTGCTTTTTCTTCTGATTTGTGCGTCCCGTTTTGTGAGCGTCGGCCATGTGAGTGGGTAGCAGTGGGTAGTGTCTACGTGACCAGTGCGACTTCAATCAGCTGTTTCGTCATGGTCGCTAGAGATCTTGTCTAGAGGTGAATGGCGAGTACATGTGTACCCAAGATCTTTCTTCTCGTCCGGGAAACATTCGCACATTTCTTTTCCCCGTGGTAGTGTTGTGTTCTTCAGTGGTCTGCCGAGTGCCTGATCTGGGTTAGTATGAACATTGGAGATGAATTAAAACATTTAAGAATAGATTCTAGATCTAGACTAGAGGAGATCTAGAAATAAGAATAATAGATATTAGATCTAGATTTTCTAGATCTAACTCTGTACTGTCTCAACTGTCTGTAACTGGAAATTTAATTATTTTAGGCTGGTCAAGGTAGGCCTACTCGACGTTACTCGGTATAACTTATTAGGCCTAGCCTAAGTTATATATATGATATGTCAGTAGATAGATTATAGCGTCTTGCTAACTAGATCTAGATCTAGATCTACATAGTAGGTAGTCTACAGATCTGTGTTTATGCACTCGCAACTGCATATATATATATAAGGTCATGACAAATATGAGCTCGCAGGCCACATATTTTCAGTTGGTAGGAAATTTTTAATTTTGTGACGATTTTAGCCTTTCTCTTTCGATTTGGGATCTTAAACCTGTGCCACTAGCACTCGGCACGGGATCTCCTAGATTTTTCACCCTTGTCCGAGAAGGCTAGAGGACTAGATGTAGAGGCAGGTGTAGATTTTTATTCTTCATACCATAAAGGCAGGTCAGCGGTGTGGCTGAAAGACAGTGTAAGAAGGCGAAGGAGCCAGGGAGTAGCAGTATTAACACTTTACTTTATCTCTGAGGGGGGTAAACTCACTATGTCGCGGTCCTTGTTTGATACTTACTTAGAAATCTAAAAATTACAAAAACATCACTAAATTGGTCTTTAAATCAGCAAATGAACCTATTTTGATAGATCTTCATCAAATGAATGAAATCCCGATAAGAGACCTGTTTTCGGCAATAAAGAAACGAAGTGACTATTTCTTCGAATGCTTGGGAAAGTAAAGTTGAACTCTAGAGATCTATTTCTCCGAACGGTTTCTGATCTCAAGATTTTTTTGTTATTTTTCATCCTTTCATTCTGCCTTTTGGGAGGAAGCATTTTTTTCCCATTGAATTCAGTTTCTAGAGCCAGAGCTAGAGAGATTTTTAAATGTTTGAATATTCAGATACCTTAGTTGTGGTTGGGGCAACGTTCCCGGACTATACTTCATTTGAAAATACCTTCAAAAGGTACTGCGAGAAAACAAGACTGCTCGACCTTGGCAGTAACCTATTTTGCATTTAGTCACCCAGCTAAAACTAAAATCCTTCTTGTAAAAAAAAAGTTTATTTTCCCAAACGTTCGGAGAAATAGTGCCGGCCATAAAGAAATGTGCTCGAGCTGCTGTCAGCGGCTCACCGGCACAGTGGTTCCAACTGCTGGGAGGGGCTTGCCCCTGCCTGATGTAGAAGTCTGGACTGATGGTTCAGCTAAACATGGTACTGAGTATGGAGGCAGTGGAAAACTGATGGAGATCGTGATACAGAACTCGACCACCGTTTACCCGCGGGCCGGTGTTGTTTCAGCTACAGGGCCGAGCTTGTAGCTCTCGACACAGCGCTGGGCATGCTTGTGGCACTACATACAGCAGGCAGTCTTCCAAACAGTGTACGCATTCATGTACACTGATTCCAGGTCAGCAGTCATGCGCCTCTCATGCGGCCCTACCAACCTATCGGAAAAGGTGGTGTGCTCAATCTGTCTGCGTCTGCACACCCTCTGTCAATGCTGCGAATGTTCCTTCCACTTACAGTGGATACCAGGCCTCGCTGGACTGGCTGGGAATGAGGACATTGACAGTATCGCTGAAGAAGCAGCAGCGCATACCCAGATTGACACGCAGATCGATTTCTCAACAGCTAAAGCTGTCGCCCACCTTTCGACCTGCGCAAAGTGGAAAAGAGAGGCGATACCCAAACTGCCGTTTGCTCAGCTGCCATCATACCAGCTTGAGGCCTCGCTCAGACGACAGGACCGCTGGCTTCCCTCCCAAATTTAATAAGAACTGGTGAAAAATCGCCCAAGCTGAGATCATTCCTCAAAATTGCGCCAGCAGACAACCCAGATCCGTCCTGTCGAGCCTGCAAGGAGGACGAAACTACTGACCATGTGTTCCTGAGATGTCCCGCCGACTATCGTGCCAGAACTCATCTGCTGGGACGTTTCAGTAACCCACTTTCAGCACTTTTGAAGGACCCCCGAGCCACTTTTGAGTTCCTGCGTCTGTCGGCATCGCTGACCGTTTATGATGCCACAGCACCAGAAGAGAGAGAGAGAGAGAAAAAGAGTTACGGTTGCAGAGCCTGGAGCTTAGTTAAAGGTGGGGGCAAGGGAGGTGAGGGAGTGGGGGCAGAAATGGAAGGCGAAAGTAGACAACAGAACATTGCTAGAGAACGGGAAAGGGGGTGAAAGGAGTTAATTTTAGAGAAGAAAAATTTCCATCACTACCCGCATTCGAAAGCGGAACCTATTGAATGAGAGCTTCGTTTTTTTTTTTTTCCATGACGGTCTCTTTTTGCCCTCAATCTGGCTAGCCCCGCCTGCCAAACTGAACTGAACCGAACTGAACTGAACCGAACCGAACCGAACTGAACTGAACTGAACTGAACTGAACTGAACCGAACCGATTGTGCCTATGGTATTATAAGACGACCACTTTTGAAAATACTCAACGATGGGTATACAGTCTTGGACAATTTTAACAGTAGGCTTAGGCCAAGCATGTATTAGTATTATTATATTGACTTCGTAAATGGTTTACCGGTTATCATATTGACTGTTGAGATCTAATTGTGTTGCAAGTGCAGTAAAACTCACTACAATTTTTAAGACATAAAATACCGGGTGACCCAGAAAAAAGTTTGTCCAAGAGAAAGCTGATAAAATCGTTAAATGTACAAACACCAAAGTTTGCAGGAACATCCGTACATCCATCCAGATTTATTCTGTTATTAATAACAATAAAATATATATGACCACTACAAAGTTACAATATGTGTCACGACATGGAGGAATCGGGTGCTTTTCAATTTTTGGGACTCAGGGCTTAGAATTCAAGGTCTGTTCTTCTATGGACCCATACCTTTCAAAACTTGCAGGCCATTTCAAGATGGACATTTTGCATGGAACATTATATAAAGCTTGTTACAGATGATCTATCCCATATATGACAGAGCAATAATTATGTTTGTCATGTAGATTTAGGAGATTTCATTTGTTAAATGTCTTAATGCAAAAACATGAAGTACGGGGGTTAACTGTTTTGTCATCTTTCTATTGTACAACAGAAATGAACGAATTAATAACATTATAATCATGATGGATGTTCTAGCTTTTGGTCAGTTTTGATGTCAACTGGATCATGAACAAGAATGTTATATTTACATTTCTTACTTTAAATGAACTTTTTTTCTGGTCTGCTGGGCTGGCAGTTTTATGTGAGGCAGCATGGCAAAATCAGGCGCTTGTCAAAATAATGAATTTAAAGAAACAGGCGATTTTCTGTGTGTTTGGCAATTTGTATCAAACTTATGTTTTCTTGCTGTCCATTTAAAAGCACATTTCTATGTAGATTTTACTGAAAAACATTACTTATTTAACTAAAGGTGAAAAACATTTAAATTTTCAGTTTCCCAGGCCTCTCCAGCTATGGAATTAATCAAACTTTGGCCGCCATTTTGTCTTTATTTTTACCTCTGAAACCAGGTGACCCTGACCTCTGTCAATTGCAAATATCTCGACTTCTATTAATGATAGATGGTTAATTTTTTTGACTGATAACAAGACAAATAAACATGGTTTAAGATGGTACCAATAACTCCATATATGCCCAAAAATTTACGAGCGCCTGATTCCACCGTGTGGTGACACATATGATTAGGATTGTGATTCATAATTCAGGACCACTTTTAACACTCTCTTTCCACTTATAGCAGGGTCAGTACAGATAATGGAAAATAGAGGTGTTCATGTTGCGTCAATTATGTGTTCATGGTGTAATGGTTAGGCTCTATAACTGCTGAGGGCAGAATCTGTTTGCCTCTTTCACCCTTGTATTGAGTATAGGCCACGAAGAAAGGTTCTTCACTTGTCTCTATTCTTGGTGATCTTGAATGCAGAATAATATTGTGGGTGGTTGGTGAGTGCTCTGGTGTGGTTTGCTTCTTCTTTCCTATCACGAAATGTCTATCGTCTTTATCTCCCCTCCTTATTTTTTGTGTTTGTTATTCTTATCTAATACCTCTTATCTTCGGCACTTATATAAACCTTATTGTGTTGCAAGTGCCATAAAACACTTGTAATTACAAAAACTAAAAACTAAGAATAATATTGTGTTTAATTCTCGAGTGAGAAGGGTTTTTGTATTGAGTATCTCCGTGTCTGGCGGCATGTCATATCCCTCTGCGCAAATTGAAGCAGCTCACCCAGGAAATGGTCAAAATTGTGTTGATAGGTGTGTAAAACAATTATTTCCATTAAAATCTACACCAAAGGAAATTGAAAGCATGACCTGTAACTTTTCCCCATTCATATCTGTCCAGGAATAACCATGGGACTGGAACCCATAAAATGTGCGAGAATTATGGGCCATCATCTTTGCTCCTGTCTTCTTTTTCTTCCCAATATTTATAAAGTATCCGCTTTTCTGTAGTTCATGTTTTTATACAGTCTAGCACGCTCATAGTGTAATCGGCTGGATGCTGAATTTTTACTGTTTTTTATGTACGAATTCCTATGTTCATGTTTTAAATGCTAAGAATATACACATGTATTTAAGACAAAATTCAGGACCTGAAAAATCTGTTGGCACTGTGTGTGCTAGACTGTATCTGCCTTTGTTGAATGATTCTCTTTACTTATTTTCTCGTTTTCAGGTCTTTCGAAAAATTAACCGTCACCCAAAGAGAACGTCATATATTGCTTGAACTGCTGTCCGGCATCTTGAAAAGTCCCAGCCTTTGACGATCATCATGTCTACAGACTACAATGAGCGCCCTCAGTTTGAGGAGACCTCGGGAAATAAGACTTTCCGAAAGATGAGGGAAAATCCAATGGTTCCTATCGGTGAGTTCAATTTTGCTGAGTAAGCTTTTTCAGCTTTTTTTCCTCTTGGTGAAATTTATGACAATAAGAATAATTTCATAACTCAATTGTCTCAATAATTTTTTTCTTCAGGTCTTTAGTTAGGCAGTAGTGGTGTGGTAAGAATGCTTTTACTGTTTTATATATCCTCAATATTGCAGGGTTTTGTATTGTTCACGGAAGATCCACTTATGATTTATACCCGTTTTTTGCTCTTTGGGTTTAAAAAAAAAGTCTTCTCAAAACAGCTCTAAAGATTACTCAGGCAATTGTATTATAATGACCTTGACGAAATGTACCTGTTCCCTACTGTGGTCTTCTTTTTAACTTTAGACATTAGTAACACTTCTAATTTTCTGTGCTTGTATGACCTTCTATTTCTGTTGCAAGTGCAGTAAAACTATTTACAAAAACTAAAACTAAAATGTGCCCATTGGGCTAGTGTTTGCTTTTATTGTGCTCCTGAAATCTTCAGTCGACTTCCCCAGTAATTTCATATCTTGGTGGGTGGTTGGCGGGTGCTCTGGTGTGGTTTGCTCCTTCTTTCCTATCGAACATCTATCATCCTTATCTTCCCTTCTTCTTTTTTATGTTTGTTACTCTCTTGTAACACCTCTAATCCTTTGGCGCTCATATGACTTATGCAGTTGCGAGCGCCGTAAAACCTCTGTTGAAACTAAACTAATTTCATATCTTGCTAGTCTTTTCCTTGTTTTTTTTCATTTTTTAACATTTTTTCGTCTCTTTTGTGGAGCGTATTTGAATTATTTATTATTAATGTCTGTTCTGTGAACTGTCACTACTGTCAGTGGTTGATCATGAAGTTGTAGCCGTGAATTGCAAGGTTTATTGCCCTGAAAATACTGAATCAAGTGAATCTTTAATTTTAACTGCAGTTTTGCATTTCACGTCTTTCAACATATATATATATATATTTATATATGTTAACTTGAATTTGGTCAATTTTACGAGACTCATGTGCTTTTGTTCCAGCAACTTTAACATTCTTCTCATTTTGATTTCTGGGCTTCTGTAATAAATGAGGTGTCTGTAATGTGTACGTGTGCGAACACAGATATGTCTTGTGAAAGGCAGGTTGGGTTGCATCATTGTAAAGCATTGTGTGTGTGTATGTGTGTGTGTGTGTGTGTGTGTGTGTGTGTGTGTGTGTGTGTGTGCGCGTGCATGCGTATGTGTACATTGAATGTGTCCCCGTCCCCTTCCTCTTTCATGGGTGATTGGTGAGTGCTTAGAATTTTTTTCAGCTAGTCATCCTCTCTGTGTTATGTGTGTCAGTGCAGTTTCAGTTTTTGTGGAATGGCCCTTCAGTGTTCTTGTACTGTGTATCACCACGCTCATTCGATAATTGCGTGTCATTTTTAGGTAAACAGAGCAAAGGCCACATCTAGATAATTTGATTAGTTCCCAAGGTTTGTGTCAAAAATTGTTTTCAAACTTTGAATATCCCACCACTGACTGAAGTGTCTTTAGTCCATTCCCAAAGGGGGGACATTTCTTGTTCTAGTGCACAGTAGAATTGTAAATGGGCTGATTCAACTATGTCATGCTCATGCTATAACTGTACCTGATCTACAACAGGGAACTGCTGCTTTTTCTTTCCTAATCCTTACTATCGTCACTTTTCCTCTACTTCTTTTGTATGTTTGTCACCCTCTTGTGACCCTCTATTTCTGGGGTGCCTTGATAGTCGAAGCAGACTTTGTGCTGTTGAAGCTAGAGAGGTGAGCAGAGTAAGTCTGATTCCCTGTAAGGACTGCTCTGTTGACATCCACCCTTTCGCTCTCATATGACCTTATGCAGTTGCAAGAACCAAAAAACCTCTACTAAAACTAAACTAAAACTTTTGAATTTTATTTAATCCAAAAAATTTTTTTTTAAAACTTCGTGTGTCTTGTCTGTTTTGCAAGAGCAATAAATGTAGTCTTTGTTATTTTTCTCAAAAGGCAAAAAAATGACTTAGGCAACTATCGAATGAGCGTGATGATATGTAACTCGTTAATTCAAAACTTAATTTTGATTTTATCGTTTTGTATTACCAGGTATGGCGGGCTTCTTTGTGGCTGCGATTTATGGTGCTCGCCAGTTCAAGAACAGGCCCAAGAACATGTCTGCCTCCATGTACATCATGAGGTTCCGTGTGTTTGCCCAGAGCATCGCTGTCGGAGCCATGGGCATTGGCATTGGCTACACAATTCTTAAAGATATGTTTGTCAAAAAAAGTCCAAATGAAAGTGAAGCGAAGTAAAGGGGAGTTTTTAACTTAAGGTTGTTAAAAAGTCTCCTGAATTTAATAACAGTTATAGTTCCACTTGCTACCTACAACCAACTGTTGGTTCATGTAAACACATGTTCACAAACATAACATGATTGTTTGTCTGTGAATTCATGACATCATGTTTTGTTGTGTTGGGTGGCAAAATATTTATTATTAAATAAATCTCAAATTTTCTCTCGGAGAAGAGATTTCATTGATCAAAAACATTTTTATTAATGACACAGTGCTGGAGGTAAATATCTTGATGGTGGAAAATCTGGCTGCTTGTATGGACTGCTTGTGTGAATATAACAGGCATTTAAAAGAATTTATGGAACAATTTTGCCTTCCACTGCAAAAACGCAAGAATAAGATGCTTGGACACCAGAGGTCTTTCTGTGCTTTAAGTGCTGTACACCCTGGGGTCTGCCTCAACAAACCTCTGTTACACTGGTCTAAATTTCGTTTGTTTTCGGAATTCTAAAGGTTTAACCTTACAGCCCTAGTTTTGTTTAGTTCCCTCACAAATTCCCGTTTCCCCCAGACCCAGTCATGTACATTTCCCTCACAAGGTGCCAGCCTCCTCACGGCCAAACCTCTGGTTACAGTAATCTATGATCTACTACTTCAAACAAAGCAGTATAGAAATTTGTTTAATATCTGCAAAAAAATTACAGACACAATCAGTATTGACTGGGCCTGAGGAGTCGAGGAATCCAGTTTTACATAGGCTAGAATAATAGCCTGCTGCTGTAAGTGTTAATAGATTCATTAAAAAAAAACACCCATAGGCCCTGAGATGGTCCATTTATCCTGTTATGCAGTACAGGGGTGTGTCTAAGTCTTGTAGTTTGTGGAGAATCACCTAAGTGGTGAACAGAGAGGTAGACTTATGGCAATAAAGACAGGCTGATGCGGTGACTCTAAACCTCCTCAGCATACCACATTGACCTTTTTAAATGATAAGGAAGGTATACTTTGGCTACCTTCTATTACAATTGATTTTTACATTGAAAAATGACATGTTGTACAGCTGTCAGTGAGACAAGAAAATGATCATTTTCAGTGTCTGTAGATTGAGACAATCCCTTTACTGTGACCATGAATAGGAGGACAGACTGTGTGCGAGCAGTGTTGTAACTACAACCCATTGTCTTTGCGAGCTCTGTTTACAGAGTCGAGTGGGGTTTGTTCAAAGATACAGCTGACATTTTATTCGTGAGACACAGGCTGAGGGTAGTACTGGGAATATATTTTTTTATCATAAAGGATAGGTAAACAATAAAAAGACAGTACATGTGCTAATTCTCTAATTTCCGCTCTACATTCTGAACTCTAAGTAATAGTTCTCAATGTTGTAGCTGACATTGTAATTTTATCTTCAAGAAGTTTATTGGTGCTTTTCTAGATTTTCAATACGGTTCCCTCTTCTTCAGTCTTTCCAGTCCGGACTCATTGAATGTTGGTCAGGTCAGAACTATTTGCCCGAATCACTCACACTGTGTAATTTGTTGTTGCTTGGTAACCAAATAATATAATAGTTACTTCAGGGATCTTTACTTTACGCTACAACACGCTCATAATGGTTGTTAAGCACATAGAGCATCCTGTAGAGCATGGATGCGCTATATAAATGCAATTATTATAATTATCTCAGTAAGATCCACACTGTTCTCTTCAGTAAATGTATAGCTTTTCCTCATAAAGTAGAGGTTCATCTGTTGATTACAACAAAAGACAAAATGAATGAGGATGTGAATGAGAGAATTCATATATTTGTCTGTGTGTATTTATTTGGGTGCTGTGGATTAAATGCATTTGTCGGAGTGCCAAGATGATTTAATTAAAGTTTTGAATGAGACAGCTGGTAATGATTAACAGGACTTCTGAGTGGACTGACATGTATTGAAAATTTTGCATAATGTTTATACTGACAGTAACTATAAAGGCTGCTGCCTATAGGGTTAATGGTCTCCACAAGCTAATAATACCTTTCACTGTTCCTTTTGTACTTTAGAAATGTCTTGTTGAATAAAGTTTCATCTATAGGATTTAAAAATAAATTTTTATTATAAATTTTTGTTGTTGTTTTCTGGTGTAGTTGACACGCATCTATGTGTCATGATGTGGTGGAATCAGACGTTTGTCAATTTTTGGGCTTGTGGAGTTATTGGTTTTATTTGAAAGCTGATTTTTTCCCCCCCTTGCCTTCTATGAAATAAATATCCATTTATCTTGAATAGAACTCAAGATATTTGTGATTGAAGGAAGCTGCGTGGCTTCAGTGGTGAAATTAGTGAGAAAATGGCTGCCAAAGTTTGGTAACTCCAATAGGTAAAGAGTCTTTGAAAACTGTAAAATGACATATTTTGTTCCTGTAATCAATATTTTTCAGTAGAATTCACATGGAAATGTGTTTTTATATGAGTATATAATAGAGGTTAAGGCAAAAAATAAACATTCGATAAAAATGTCAAAACTGGCAGACACTGTTTCTCTGATTTAGTTATTTTGGCGAACGCCTGATTTCACCTGTACACTCGGAGATACGCACGCAAGCTCACACTCGCAAAATCATGTCAATTCTTTCCCTACTTTTTGTTTTTTCTGAGTTTATGGAGAATATTATTGTGAGTACAAGCATTCTTGTGTAACAGCACTTTTGAGAGAAACAGAGACAGTGAGTGGGGATAGATGTGTGCTTGTGCTTAAAAGCCATATTATATAGGTGAAAGCTTGAGTGACAGAGAGAGCAAAAAGTGGATACATGTACATTTACATATTTGGGTATGTGTGTGTGTGTAGATTTAGATCAGTAGATGAAAGCTTGATAGAGACAGAGAGAGAGCAAATGTGTATACATTTATTCATTGTGTGTGTGTGTGTGTGTGCGCGTGTGTGTGTGTGTGTGTATGTGTGTGTGAGTGCGTGCTTGCACACACTTTTAAATCAATAGTTTAAGCAAGGCATATCGAGGGAATATGATTTTGATATATGTATGTGTATGTGTGTGCGCGCTTGTGTGCCTTTATGCATGTGTAGCTTTACATTCCCTCTTTGGGGCTGTCGTTTTTCTGCTAGTCTGATTTTATGAGATGAATTGAAGCTATTTCTCTTGCCTCAGATGTGATAAAGTTAAGTTCTGAAAACCCCACAATAAATGTAGACCAAAAAAAAAAATATACCCCCCAAAAAAACCAGCAGAGGAGACTGCTTGATATGTTTTGTTTTTGTTAACTCCCAAAGTGGCCTGTAGAGATTTTTATGCACAAAGTGAAATAGCCAGAACAAAAGACAAGAATGTGATATATATGAGTATGAGTTTCAGAAGTTAAAACGAATTATCTAGCAAATATTTAATATCAGTTTTCTTTGTGATAGTGTTGTGGATTCAGCCTGTACACAAAATATACTGGCAAGACTTACATTAACTTAATATTTTCAATAAAATATTTTGAATTGTTGACTTTTATCCTAGTCTTGTTTTTTTTGTACATGATTTTTGTACTAGACTCCTTGTAGTTTTCTGTTTTATACTTACTTTTAGTTTTTGATAAGTTATCGTTTGACTGAATGATGAAAAGGACATCATGTAGGCTACTGTGTTTGTTCGTTTCAAACATACTTTGTCAGAGGACCACTGTCGTTTGAATACCTCGTTGATTTGTGAAGATGTCGGATGTGGTTATACGTGAAGAACGAAGAAGACCACTACCTAAGAAGAATGCTTCACACTGTACTAGTGTTGTATAGTTATAATAATATTCATGTCTTTCCAAAATTTCTCTTTTGAATCAGCCTGTGATCATAGTCGGAAAAAGATGCTATGCTCTCCTGTTGTCATTTCTGGTGCTTGAACTACTGCATTAATTTCTCTTGAAATGCAGCCTGAATTTGTCCAAAAGAAAAGAGCGTTTTTGTTTTGTTTTGTTTGTAATGGGGAAGGGTATAGTTTTCTGTAGTATTTTGCCAGGACTTGAATTCATCAAGGGTACAGTGAGTGGGGGCGTTTGGGGAGGATGCCAGAATCTGTTTGAAGTCGAAGCAGAGCCAGAGGATCAGTTTTTAAAATAATTTCATAGATTGTTTTCTGTCGGTTGTTGATTCTTTTTTTTTTTTATAGAATAAAATGGTTGCTTTTTGCTTCAAGGCACTTGCCCATGTTTTATCGTGATGATCTTTGTCGATTAGTCCTTTCTATATATATATTTCTGTATAGAAAAAAAAACTTGTTGCGAAAATACAATGTCTCAAAATGAAAAATACAATTTTTTTTGGTGAATTGGCGTTTAGTGTTCAGTGTCTTCCAACAGTTGTTTGTTTATGTGTCTTATGTTGTTTGTCAATTTATATGGCTGCCTTTACTCAGTTTTTCCTCATACATTTATATTTTTTTTATACAGTTGAAGCTGCTCTAACTGCCC